AGCGTTACTAGCTAACCGATAGATAAAGTTTCTACAAATACGTTTCTTTTAGTTTGTTTTGTTTTAATAGCAAATGTTTCCTGTAACAGGTTCAATCAACACCCATTTAAGTTAAAGTAACGTGGTCAGTGCGGCTAGAAAAAATAGCCCCAGCTAGCATTGCAGAAACATTAGCATGTGTGCGTCAAATGTTAAATAGAGTTTCAACTTTAGTCTCATGTTGCCAGCAAGTGTTTAATCTTGCAGTAATTTAAACTAGTTTGTGACATTAGCTTCATTTACACAGACAAAGTTGATAAAAAAAAAAAAGTTTGCTAGGTTAGCATCAAACTTATTACAATTAGCTAAATGCTAACTTGGTTGTACTCGTAATTGCTGTGCGCTGATATCGGTAGTCCCTTTGTACGCATATTTAAAAAGTTATTGAAACACTAATATTGAATTATTTACTTGTTTTACCCCATTTTTTTAGTGTCAAACTTTTTCAACCTATAGAAATGCAGTCAAGCTCCAACATGCACCTATATATAAATGAGATACAACTTAAACAGTTTAATGTAGAGGTGTTACAGGGACTATTTGTCATTATATCATATGCTAAGCTAGGGAAAACACATCCCAGGTTAATTGCAGGTAATTTGTCTTTGTTCATATATGAGTGTCTGTTTTAGCTGCTTCGTTGACGCTCACTCTGCTCAAAGATCAAAATGAAATCTCCCAGCAGCTGTAAATTTCACCCGGCTCTATCACGTATTGCACAGTGTTGTAAATTGTCACTCAGTTCTTGTGCAGACTGAATTTGTGACAGATGTTTGACTCTCAGGTGCGAGACTGACACGCCCGTCTTATTTTAATTATTTCTGGATGTGGTTATGAAGTGGGTTTGGCTGCGTGTCTCTGGCTCAGCGTCGCATTTTGACATTCGCTGTCTGAATGCAGAGTGAAGGAGTGAGCTGCTGGGAGGTCGGAGGCCAAAGAGTCTACAAAGAGAGTAAAGCCGAAGACACTCCAAAGCTTTCCTGATGCTGATGTGTATAGGTGCTGAATATGTTGGATGTCTTGTAAATTTCTCCAGCTTTACAATGAGAAAACAGTGATAATTATATTTGTCATGGCCCCTAAACTCTGCTGTTTCCGTAGTGCTACTTCTGTTTTAAAAACGTCAGCTAAAAACACACTTTTTTAAACGTGCAGAAAATGAAAAAGCAAATAGAGAATATAACTATTGATATAACTGAGTGACTTTTCTGAATATTTTCGTAAGTCAGTAATTGAGAGTAAGCATATATTTTGACTTGTAGAAACTGCATCTGACAGGGAATAAATAACATATTTGATGGTCTCTACACAAGCGTGACATTGACAAATTACGGACAGCACTTTACAGAGTCAAGAGTGAACTTTCCCACCCCCTCAACTTTATAACATCACATCTTCTGCTTTTATGAGATATCTAGATTATTGTTTGAACATTTGATCCTGTACACGATTGAGAAATTTCACATTTTATCTTTCTGGATCATTGATAGTGGCCACACTTCTGTGGCATGGTGGCCAAGTGGTAAGGCGTTGGTCTCGTAAACCAAAGATCATGGGTTCAACCCCCATTCATGCCTGCGCTTGCATTGCTGACTGTTTGATAAATCAGTAAATTCATTATTTCACGTGCTTAGAAAAGCTGAAAGGGGCTGAAAGTCTTTTCGAGGCAGCGGTCTTCAAAGCTGAGCCCTGCAGGTTTTTCTCACTTCGCAGGGAATCAGCTGCGTCTCAGGTCAGATCTTGTTTCTGTTTCTTTTAAGATAAGTTTGGTCCAGTATGTAACCGCGTTCCTCTCCTCTGAGCTATAAAGATGGACAACAGGCAAAAATCCTCTAAGTCTAAATCTGAAATATCTGACAAACTTTAATATTAAGTCAAGGTCAAGTCACGTGTTTCAAGTCTACAGCTCTGCACTGATGCGTGTGGGAATCAACATGTAAAGCAAAAGCAGGGACAACAAATATGGTACAAAAAATTTATTTAGTAACAGTTTTGTAAACATTTGAGGTAAATGAACATTTACATCAACTTGTTCTTACAAAAGAATCATTCATACACAAGGCACTTCTCTTGTTTAAGACAGCATTGAAAACAGGCTGCTGTTCTGAGCATTGTGAGATGGTTCCTACTCCCTGACGAGCCAGAGAAATCATGCTCTGCATGAAACGTAAGAGGAGAGAGTTTGGAGGAGTTACAGGGACGACGGGCTTCGAACACAACATCCTGTCAGGGCTTCGTATGCAGGGTTAGGGAAGGGCCAGCTACCCAGCTAACACTGTCTCAACAATGGAGTCGTCTGGTATGACGTCTGACCAGAGTCCCGACCAGTCTGTGAGAACATACTGAGTGAACACAGAAAAATACCCCAACTGTTTTTTCTCTCTCTCGCTGCTGTTTTTTTTTTTTCTTCCTTTCTTTAAATCTTCAAACTCATCAATTCATTATCTGAGCTTGAGATAAATAACAGTTTCTTTTTTTAATACTGCCTTTTCTGTGAAGAGCCACTGCGTTTCGGTTTTAAGACATTTTTTCCTTTGAGGATCATAGAGATTGGCAGTTCGACGTCACGCTCTCTCTCTCTCTCTCTCTTTCTCCCTCTATTACTACCAATATTAGCATTGTAGAACAGCAATTTTCTTTCCTAAATGTGCAAATCTTTATCAACTACCAAAATGTAAACTTTAGGAATCAAAAACAAATGCAGATAACAAAGTTTTTTTTTGTGATTTTGAACAAGAAACATGAATTGGGAAAGGCTGCTTTTACCTATGTGTTGTGCAGGTGTATTTTCTCCTCTTTGTGTTTCTGTTGGCACTAAATGTCACTTAAGCAAGTAAGAAACAGTATGAAACATTATACCTTTATGGGTACAGATACTCTTACACCATACAGTACCATCATTTTGTAACCCCCCCCCCCCCCCCTGAAAAATGATTTAAAAAAAAAAAAAACAAACAGCTGGTACCACTTTACATTTCTCTCACTCCAGTGTATTAACCTGCACATTAACTACTGGAAAAGTGTTGACTGTGCACAAACATGTTTGTATTTAATTGTGTTGTTATACCCTGTGTGTGCAATATCTCCAATGCAGATTACTGAGTGTGTCCACACGGTGTTACTGTGTACTTGCAACCCTGTCCCAGAGGTGAATTCACAGGATAACACAGTGAATTAAGGTTGTTGTAAAGTTAAAAAAAAAATAAAAAAAAATAAAAAATAAGCTTTTTGAAAGTGAGTGCCTGGGTTGTGAATGAACCGAACAGCACAGTAACACAACAGAGACAGAGGACTGTGACTGCTGATGGATTCAGTTAAAGGTGTGGGTTTTCTAAAGATCTCTAAGAATCAAGATGAACACAACAAAGTAGAAGCCGTCGAGGTCGACTGCACCTGGCGTTTCAATACTCGCAACGCCAGTCGTTTTTGTCTTTTTTTTTTTTTTGTCATTTTTTAAATTTTTTATTTTTTATTTTTTTTAAATCGTAGCTGTTTCGCAATCACAAACTGACTACTACAATTATGCAATTTATGAGTAAAATTCAATTCAGTTTTTAAAAAAATAGCACTTCTCAGAATAAAACCAATGACGGTGAAAATCGTTTCACTCCCAGAGTCGCTCTTTGGTGTGTGATGGTTAAAAAGGAAGTTGTGGGTTTTGAGGGCAAAAAAAAAAATAAAAAAAAAATATCTGCCATCAATCTAACTATAAAAAAAAAAAATAAATAAAAATAAAAATAAAAATTTGGCGGTTTCAAGTCTGACCAAAGAGCTTCGGGAGGTTGTTTGTCTGAATGAATATCAGATAAATCAGATGGTGGCTGTCGTGTATTTGCATAATATCTTCAAGACTCTTTGAAGGCAGTATCTCGTCATTTGTGCAGTTATTGGAGAGCGTTTTTAAAGTTTTCAGACATGTTGACTGAAGGCGACACTGACAGAGGCAGGCGTAAGGGACTCTGCTCCTACTTTCCTCAGTGGTATGGTGGGAACCTTTTGATCTCTATGTGATTCGGCAAAATGTGGCGTTTTTCCGAGAGACCCAGGTGCATTCTGGGCGTCACAGGGATGACTTCTACCAGCGGGGGGGAGGAGGGGAGGGGGGGGTTTGTTTTTGACCCACATCCCGGTCCACACTGCGTCTACGCCGACTTGTGAGTGAATCGGTGAGTTGAAGGTGTGCGCGACTACGAGGAACACGATACACGATGTTATCTTTGTTGATAAAAAAAAAATCACTTCCAGACAGGTGTTTTGTTTTTGCAAAAACAGAAAAAAATAAAAAAAAAAATCAGGAAGTGCTGCAGTGAAAAGACTTTCCAGGTCACAGGTGAAGAAGCTGTAACACGTAGTGCAACACGTAGTGCATGTTTGTGCTGCTGAGCTGACTGTGAAAACCAGATAAAAAAATGATTAACAAGATATATGAGCAGTTTTCTGGCTACACATCCAATAACTGAAGTGTACAACAATGTGCTTCCTGTGCTTCCTCCAGATGAAAGAAAAAAAAAAAAATGCAGTTATTGTTTTGACAAATGATCATTTTCATTTGGAGTAATTAGTCCTTTAGGGTCGTGAAGAAGAAGAGAAAGTAGAGAAACACCATGAGATCTTCCCTCCCAAAACCAAAACACTATGGTGAGTCCGTGACATTACAACGTCCTTCGCTCCGTCCACCGCTGTGAGCGGAGCCTCCTGACCTTGTAGCACTGCATAATCACATTGTGTGTGTATAAATTAAGACCATCCAAACAAACAAACCTTGCCTCAACTACTCTGCAACTCACCGATCGCACTAAATCAACAACTGCTGCTGATCAGGTCATTTCACATTTGCCTAAACGTTTTTTCTTTCTTTCTCTCTCTCTGCTTTCCTGTCGCTCGTCGCCTTGCCTTCTGATGTTTTGTTTTTTTTTGTTTTGTTTTTCAATTTTTTTTATTTTTTTTTTATTTTTCTTTTCTTTTCTTATGCATGTGTGTGATTTTTTTTTGTTGTTGTTGTCTGAGAATCACTGTGTTTGGGGAGCGGTTGAGGGAAGCGGGCTGTTGGTCAGGGAGGGTTTAGGGACATGAAAGGGGCTGAAGAGGTTTAGACAGCCAGGTCGTTCGGCCTGGCCCTGATGCTGCTGCTCTTGCTGGCCCGACTGAGCCGCCGGGGGTCTGTGCTGACCGTTACTGGAGGCTCGTGCATCTCCACTGTGGTGGTGGTGACGTGGCCTTCCTCCTGCTCGCTCTTCCCCCCGCCCCAGCTGCCTGCGTTGGAGGCAGAGCCGGGGCTGCCGCTGCTGGAGGCGGCGGTGGCGGTTGTGTTGGTGATGTTGGTGTTGCTGGTGGTGTTGCTGGTGGGAAGGAGCAGCGCAGCGTCGACGGGCTGCTGCTGCTGCTGCTCGTTGTTGTTGCTGGCGGAGGAAGAGGGGGATGGGGAGGGGGAGGTGGCCTTCATCTCCCGAGTCTGCTGCTCGGTGGCCAGATTGGCCCAGTTCTGCTGCGTGGCCAGCCTGTGGTTGTTGTTGTTGCTGATGTAGTAGTGGGAAGAGGGGGAGGGCTGGCGGAGGGACTCCTCCTGCTGGAGGTCGTCCATCTTGAACTCTGCTGCTGAGGGCACGGCTGCCGGCCCCATGGGCGGCAGGAACGCCCCGCTCCCTGCCGTAACATCTGTGTAGTTGGGAGGGTAGCTGAGGCTGGATGGGGCAGTTCTGGAGGCCGAGGCCAAACACTCGGGCTCCGCAATGTCGACGTGGCGCAGCGACATGTGGTCGGGGGCAAACTCATTTGTCATGCCCTGTTTAACTTTCTTCCATCCAAGGTGATAGATCTCTAACAAATTCAGCAAAAGAGACACGCAAGCCACCACAAGCATAAATATAATAAAAATAGTCTTTTCAGTGGGCCTCGATATGAAGCAGTCAACGGTGTTGGGGCAGGGCCAACGTGCACACTTGTACAGGGGCCTCAGCCGGAAGCCATAGAGGAAATACTGGCCCAAAATGAATCCCACTTCAAACAGGGTCTTGAAAATAATGTTGAACACATAGGTACGCAGCAATGCGCCTCTGATACGGATTTTGCCATGCTCGTCCCTGATTGGCGGCTTCTCCTTCTTGCCGCCTCCTCCTCCAGCATCTCCACCATTTCTATAAAGGAGTTCTTTCTCCTCTTGCAACCTGTTTGCTTTGCGCAGCTCCTCCTCCTTCTCTTTCCGCTTCTCCTCCATGCGGACGATGTGTAGCACATGGCCCAGGTAGATGAGGGTCGGCGTGGACACGAAGATGATCTGCAGCACCCAGAAGCGGATGTGCGAAATGGGGAAGGCCTCGTCGTAGCAGACGTTCTCGCAACCGGGCTGTTGGGTGTTGCAGGTGAAGTCAGACTGCTCGTCGCCCCAGACCTCTTCAGCCGCGGCCCCCAGCACCAGGATCCTGAAGATGAAGAGGACAGTCAGCCAGACTTTGCCGATGACCGTTGAGTGCTCCTGAGCGTTCTCCAACAGCCGCCCCAGAAAGCTCCAGTCGCCCATGCTTCAAGATTTCTAGCCTATGGAGAAAGTACAGGCTGGAGTGGACAAAAGAAGGGAGGAATGTCAAAACAAAAAGAGGAGAGACAGACACAGAGAGTTAAAGAAACGTTTATGAATCCGTAGAAAGTCTTCAAAGTTGGTCTGAACATTGGTCATCGCAAAGAGCATCATGTAAGGCCTTACCCCAAGGTTAAACACGCTACACATACGAACACACAAGACGACACAGGGACATGGACGAGAGTGGAGGTGTCGACCAGAATCCGACATATTTCTCTTTTTCATAAAACGCTCAGAAGAATTCGGCCTTTGTAGAAAACTGCCACGCAGGCGTCGGATATCGATAACAAATCAATACACGGCATTCCCTTCAAACACAGGCGCTTTTTAGCAGCTCGGATACTGTATAGACCACCTGTTTGACTGAACCACGGTTCACTCTCCCTTTCTCTCTCTCTCTCTCTCTCTCTCTCTCTGTCTCACGCCTCTCTCTCTCTCTCTCTCTCTCTCTCTCTCTCTCTCTCTCTCTCACCTGCTCGCTCCACTGCCCAGCAGGCATGTGCTGAGATCAACATTATAATGTTCGAAAACAGCATTTAGCAGCGATGGGGCTCTGGTGTGGCACATGCACACGCACGCATGCACGCACGCACACACGCACACACACACACACACACACACAAATACTGACACACACACATACACACCACCCTCCCTTCTCTCTCTCTCTCTCTCTCTCTCTCTCTCCTTCCACTGTAATATCAAAGCCACACAAATACAAAGATGTTACTGTAATTACAACAGATTTAATATTACAATAAGATACTGTCTGAGATTTGAGAGTTTTTAAGTTTTGGAAACTCTGCAAAAGGTTATTTCAATTTGAAAAGACTTAAAAAGATAATGGTATTTTCATTATCAATTAATCTCTTTAATTTTTTCTTTGATTAATCAAATTATTTAGTCTTTATATCAGAAAAAGAACCATTATAATTTTTCAGGGCCCAAGTTAACGTCTTCTAACCCCCACGATATGCAAAAATAATGATATAAAACAGACTCAATGGAAATATACCTGATACATTTCTTGATTAATCGATTAAGTGTTATCAGTTAATTTTCTTGTTCTATCGTCTTAGCGCTACATCTGTCATTTGATGCCACAGATTTAATACCAAGTTTAGAGGCTTTTTAAACTACATTTTGAAATGAAGGTAGAACTAGTTTTTAGATACAGATACAGATGTCTGGCCTCATCTGTCCTCCTGTGATATTGACAGGTGATAAATGTTGTTATTCGTTACATCTTTCAGACAGTATGATGTACAGTTAAACACTATCCATACAACAAATTAAAAATACAACACAAACAGAGAATATAGAAGAGAAACTTACTAAAATATTCTTGTATTAAAGGTAATAAATCCATCGACTAGGGTTCACAATATGTATGACACCTGGAAGAGAAAAACATTAGTCAAGCAATAACTCTTTCTTTTTTTTCTTGTTAATCTTTGATGAATATTAAAGATATAATAACACTTCCTTTAACCAGCTGAAATTGATTTTTAAAATCTAAAATAGTGTAGTTTTCTAAACACAGTTTGCATTTGAAATAGCTGATATAAATACTGTGATATATTGGGAGCATTAGGGACACTGCAGCAGTTAAACCCACAGAGTCAGAAACCATTTGACCTTGTGATGACTTAACTGTGGAAAACTCTGACTAAATTTCTCTGGGTTTTCACAGGTATTTGAGGTATTTATGTGGCATGGTGGTGAATGTAACAGACAGAGCCAGGTTCAAATACAAAGCCATACCTGCCAGGTTGACAATACAGAGTGTGCCAGAGTCCCCAGACTCTCTTTAAGCGCCACTAGCTTTGTCAGGCTTTTGTCTGTCTCTTAATTACCTGATAAAAACACGCATTTCTTTCATTAACCTGGTCTTACTTTACTTCCGTTTTACTGCAGGAGGGTTTTAGCTGCAGAGTTCATCCGTCATACCTTTAGACCGGAGATGTCATACTTAAATACGAAAAGCAAATCCATCTGCCATCATTGGTGCCATCATCTGAGAGCGTTGAAAAGCGTGTAGATCTCCCGCGGCTGCAACGACCCTCTCTCTCTCTATCTGTGTCTCCCTGATCCCAACCTGTCGCCTCTCTGACACCTCAACAAACTCTCTCTCTTTTTCTTTTTTTAATGCTGCCACAAAAACTTATTCATGCACTAACTTCCCCAGGCGTGTGGTCTCTCTCTCTGTCTGTCTGTCTGTCTTGTCTGTCTGTCCCGGGCCCGTTTCACTTGCGCAAAGAAAAGTTTTCCTTTGTTGTTGTTAGTTTTTGGAGGCGGCTTGGAGTCGGAGATGGGGCTCGGTTAAACGGAGCTGCCTCCCGTTTCCAGCCATGTCTGGACTGTCACATTGTGTGACCATGCATGAGTGAATCCACAGAGTCATCAGCCTGTCCGGAGTCACACCACGCCCCTGCCAGCCTCCCCAAAGCCACTCCAGCGTGTGCGCAAAAAGTTGCTGAAAAATGCGCATAAAACTCTCCCTAAACTTTCACAGTTTGTTTAAAAACTGATAATTTTCTGAAAGTAAAAACAATCTGAAAAAGTTTTTCAACCACTACACTTAAAACACATTAATGTCTGTCTTATTTTAAGAGGAAAGGGCGCCTTTAAGTGGTCATAAGATCACTATAAACTCATGGTTGACCCCGCAGATACACTGTAGGCTACTCTGTCTAGATAAAACATTACTGTGAGAGATTCATTAGACCGATATCTGGTGTTTAAAAGGGAACAGTCAGAGCAGACTAAAGATTTAGGGCATCACCCAGAAAATAAAAAAATAAAAAACAGCAAAAAAAACCCCTCAATGTCCCACCCATGTGAGTGGCAGCAGGACAGCATGGCACCATGTGAAGCCCAGACACACTGCACACAAAACAATGAACCACACAGTTTCGGTTTTAGTGATTTATGTAAAATTAAAAAAAAACAAACAAACAAAACAAAAAAAAAAGGTCTCAAAGAGCAAAAAAGAAAAAAAGACTTCAAGGATCAAAGTGCGAGTGTATTAAAAAACATCTTAGGTACAAAACACAATCACAAATATTTAATTTCTTCTTGCTTAGAAAAGCTGTTTGCTGTTAAAAGCAGACTAAAAAAAAAACTAGACTGTGGAAGAAATCTGAGCAGAAAACAACAACAACAACAACAACAACAACAACAACATCTTGGCTCTGGAGTGATCAGGCTCGTCCCTTGAAAACACATCGTCAAAAATGTCATCAGGCTGTTACAGAAAAGCACAAGGTCAAAGGTCAATGCAGAGCTGACACACAAAACAAAACATGTTTTTTTGTTTTAAGAATAAAATTAAACATTGTTGCTGTGTCTGTGACAATGAAGGACTTGGCTTTTTTTTTTTTTTGGCTGTAAACTACACAGACGCTCATCAGCTGCGTGAGTTACGCAACATCAGTGTAGGACTCAATTCAAAAATTAAGAAAAGAAAATTGAATGACACCTCAGATCAATTATCCACATACCCCCTTCCAGTCTTTGTCAAAGTCACCACATTGCTCTTCTCTGTTCACAAAACGTGATTATAAGATGATTTTTTAAAAAAATTTTATTTATTTTTTTCAACAACACAGATGTGGATGATCCAACTCGGGTGTTTCCTGGATGGAGCGAGGACAAAGACGTTTTCACTTTGAGATCGGGGCCGCCACATTAAGAGGGAGGAGCGGCGATTAGTGTTGTGGCTAAAATAAGGCACATCCTGAAAGCTGATACAGCCAGCTGCGGTCAGTACACACACACACACACACACACACACACACAAGCACACACACACATGCACACACTGCAACAACAACACAAGTCCAAATAGCACATGGAGCAGGTCTGGGCTGAGCAGGACAACTTCTGATCAGTGTTGAGCTGTGTAACTTGATAATCCCCCTTTTTTTGAAATAAACACTTGGCGGATAACAACGTCATCAGGAGGCGAAAACAAAATGTCACAAAATGCAAAAATACTGATTCATGTAATTTATCTGTAAATCACTACAAACCGGACAGATCTGATCTTTATAAGAGTCAAGCTTCTTGACTAGAATTCATAATAATGTCCTGTATGTTTTAACACTCGATCAATATTTCTGAATTAATATCTGTGTCATGTGAGATTTGTTTTGGCCTCTTTGACACCCAGATCAACTCTGCAGGTTCTGTTCCAAAGCAAATATTTCACATTTATGCAAAATGATCTGTCGGGGAGCGATTTCTGACTGAAGAATTAAAAAACACCTCGTACAATCTAAACATATGTATGTTTCATAGACTTGTACCGCCTGGCATGCACGTGTGAAAATACGCAGCACATTCTCCGTGTGTTCGGGTTATTTCTCCAAAAACTCTTCAGTTTCAGACACTTTCAGTTCAAGTAAAAAGACAACAGACATTCTGATTTGATTGAACAGTGAAGAGCATCAAATCTATTAAACCACTGTTGTGTTTTAGGTAAGATTTCACTGTGTCATATAATCTTATCTTGTGCAACACACACACACACACAAACACACACACACACACACACAAACACACACACACACACACACACACACACAAAAAAAACTACCATTATTTATAGAAAGTCATTTAACTATGAATTTTTTCTTTGTGCTACAGTCGCTTGATTCAACAACAGCAGGAACATAAAAAAGAAAACTCATCTGCTTTTATCAATCACTGTAAAACACGTATTAAACATTTAAGATCAAACGTCAGCTGTTGTAAACTAAACACTAAACGTAATCATTAAGGCACTTGGACCTTCTTTTTTTCTGCTTCACTTGTCATTACTTTTACTTGTTCTTCTACTTTAACACTAAGTAACTCATTCAGACCTTGTGGACGATGTTCGTGCTCTTTGCGTTTCCCATTGTCACCGCCAGATGTCAGTGTAGCCTCACTCTGGTTCAAACCCTGACCATTCATTCTTTTGAGCACATTCAAGCAAACTTCAAACTGTGAACAATAAATTAACTCCCCCCCTCTCCCCTCCCCCCACTCCCCCAATCATCCAACATTATCATCAACCATCCACCGTATTAAAATGTAAAGGTGACACTTGTGATAAAGATCCACAAATACAGGGACAATCTTTGCTACCTGGCGGCTTTTTTGTTTTCCTAACCGGTGGAAACTCATGAATGTAGAAGACAGGCCGACCCAACAATACTGTGTAGCTTAACTAGTTTCTGCTGTGGTAATTTAAAGTTTCCACTGTCTCGAAATCTGCCTCAAAAGCTATTTCACCTTCCCATGAGACAATTGTGGTGGATGCTCACATTTAGAGCCTGATTACCAAATTGTAGATGTGAAATTTGACTATTATGGGTGGTTGGATTTACAGTTTAAGGGTTTTTATCTTCTTCCGTCCCACTTCACCACTGATGGCTGCCCTTCAACACATGGTCTTGTTGCTGGGCAAATCCGTGGAGGAAGACAGCAGCATCTCGTTCTTCTTATTCTGCAGATGGGTATTGTCCCGTGTCACGCTGTCCGTGTGGGTGTAAGAGTGTTTCCTCTTCTTTACCCGGGTCAAACACCTCAGGATCGCCTTGACGATGAGGTAGCCCAGCTCGGCCACGTTCAGCACCATGCAGATGGCCGACGAGGACACCATGAAGATGGTGAAGATGGTCTTCTCTGTCGGCCTGGAGATGAAGCAGTCCACCTTGTTGGGGCAAGGCCACTGCTCGCACTTCACCAGCCGGGGCATCTGGAAGCCGTCGTAGACAAAGTACAGCGCGTACATGAACCCACCTTCAAAGATGAGCCGGAAGAACAAGCTGCAGGTGTAGGTCCACCACAGTGTGCCCGTGATTGGCAGACGCCTCCTCTTCAGCGTCTCCAGGTCGGTATCCGTCGTCTTCTCGGGGCCGTTGGAGGCCAGCATGGTCTTCTTATCCCCACGTTTCCTGTAGGCGACGTGCATGGCTACGAGCAGAGCCGGTGTGGATACGAAGATGAGCTGCAGGCACCACAAGCGGATGTGCGACACGGGAAAGAAGTGATCGTAGCAGACATTTTTGCAGCCAGGCTGCTGCGTGTTGCACGTGAAGTCTGACTGCTCATCCCCCCAGACGCTCTCAGCTGCCAGAACCAGGATAGTGATGCGGAAGATGAAAAGGACAGAGAGCCAAATCTTTCCGAGACTGGTGGAGTGTTTGTTGACGCCGCCCAGCTGGGCATAGAGAGCCCCCCAACTCATGGTGGTGAAGAGGACTCTGGGGGCTCAGATAACCTGTAGAGGGCGGGAAATCAGCAGGTTAACAGGCCAGAAAATCCAAATTCAATATGTTGAATGAGTAAATGCCCCTTTCTCACAGAACTACTGAAGGTCTAAAGGTACAGAGTTGTGCCTGTTGTTGTCTTGTAATTCCCTTCTTGGTAGATTGGGTATTTTAATGTTTTTGAACAATGTGTAGCAGAGAATCAAATTCATTCTGATGATAAATGAATCGAGTAATGAGCAAACTTAAAAACCACTTTCCAGGACAGGGATGAAAAACAGATTGAAACACAGAGAACTGGGTCTACAAAGCGAAAAAGGGCTGAGGCAGCAAACTTTATGAAAGTGTCAGCAGAGTCTTTTCTTCTGCTTTTTGACATCTTTTAGGGGTTTTCAAAGTGTGAGACTGTGGGCGTCCGTTCAGACAACCATAATTTACTTGCTTAGGTTTATCTGATTCCTGGATGCTTAAGGAATCATTTTTATGTTATTTGATCCCATAGACACAAACAATTGAGCCAAGATAGCCTAATACTGCTGTTTGACATAACTTGAGACTAAACCAAACACATTAAAGAGGTCTGTCCTAAAGCTTTTATTAGTTTATTAGCTACTCTTTAACCAAATCACACACATTTAGGCTCATTTACCTGATCTCCTTTTGATAATTAATGTAATAACTTGTAATATAATGTTCTTTCCATTCACTGAGCCTCCCCACAGATTTCATCATGTTTTTCTCTATGATTACACTGATTTGCTTATCTGATTATTAATTAAGTATTCAGCTCATAATTACCGTGAAAATCACTTTGAAAATTAATGAAATTGTGTTTTACTTTCACTGGCGCGTCACAGAGGCCACTTACCGCCACTTTGTTAGGTGTGTGCTTCATGGAAGTAATTTCTTAATTAATTAATTGTAGGCTACAGAAGCAGTAAGAGGTGGAAGAGGTGTAATATGTAGGGCAAGATTAAAAAGCAGCGTCTTCCTTATCTTGAAACGCTTTATAATCTTTCCAGTCTTCTTTATTAGTGCAGTCATTAAAAAGAAATCATTGTTTTCGCATATTAGTAATTGCTTTAAACATGGAAACATCTCCTGCTTTTAGATATGAATCAATAAATTGAGTTTTATCATCAGGAAATGAACCATTTCTTGATTTTTGTTTGTGTAAATAAAACAGAAAAATGTTTTGATGACAAGACGCGCTTATTTTGTGAGAAACAGACATTAATGATGTTAAATTGTAGGATTATTACTAAATGAAAGACCGATATTTGTTATTATCAATATTATAAATAATGACAGCCTGTTGTCATCCGTATAACTAAGAAGAAGAAATTAGTGTAAATGAATCTAATCGGTAAGAACTCACCTGTGTGTGTGGAGCTTATTTAAAAACAAAAATCAGTAATTTTCCATGAAGGGAAAAATAATTAATCCTTTGATGTTTTGTGACTGGAGGAAACTTCCTCGCGCTCCAACAGAATCAGAGTTCAGCTCGTTTGACTTGACTGTCTTTAAGTTGTGAGACACGCACCTGAGGTCCTGGAGGTTTTACATGACGCTCCATCACGTAAGACCGGGAGGGGGAGGGGCCAGACAGAGGGTGCGGCCAGAAGACTCCACGGCCTGTCTCTGTGCACGGGTCCACTCTGTCTTTCTTTTTGCACGATGAATAGTTTCATAATTGGCCCCGGGGCAATCATTTATTTATTGTTGGGATCCGACTATATGAGTCGTTTTCATTTTCCCCTCACACACCCAGAAACCAGATGGAGCTGAAATGATCAGGTTATTGACAGAACATTAATCCGCAAACAATTCTGATTACTGATGATTCTTGAGGGAGAAATAACAGGTACCATCTTCTCAAATGTGAATTTGTGCCAGTTTCCTAGTTTCCTACGACAGTGAACTCAACAATTTTTGTGAAACTACTCCATCACAAGTAAAAGTACAAAAGTATTGAAGTAAAAGTATTTGAGCTGCAGAAAAACGGCCTCTGTGTGTGATGCACTGTCATATAATATGTAATAATCTTTACTGATGCATTAATATGTATAAATTTGCTCTTTTAGTTGGTCGATTAAGAGCAAATTAACCTTATTAACTAACCCAAATTAATGAAAAATTTTTGTACATGGCCTGTTTTTTCCCCCGGACTGATTATAACACATTACATAATACTTTAAAAACATGTGATAGTGGCCATTAAACTGTACTAAAAATGTCCATGGTGACATTTGTTTAAGAGTGTAAAACATCTTCGGTGGTACCTCTGAAATCACAAATGTGTCAAACATAAGCTTATACACTACGCAGCCTATATACACCCAATACATGTTTATATTTTTGTTTTTTTGTGGTCACATTTCATAGATGTGGGCCAGACGACGCGATCATGTGACAGTCACTCTGGCTTGGTATCGCTGTGAAATGAAATCTGCAACAGGAGCAGAGCACAAATGTCACAGCGAGCGGAAGTGTAAGCACTCGTGACATGTTTCCATTCGCTGTTGCCTGGAATTCAGGAGTTTATCAGTAACCCGTTTAATGCGACGCACATCATCGATTAGTTTTGCTGGAGGGAACAGAGACCACTACAGTAATCAGTCGAGAAATACTCAGTAAAACTTCATTATTTAATTTTCTTTCACGCTTAAGGTCATATTTTAAGGATTTCTGTTCACAGTTGTCGCAGTTGTAATCATTCGTTTTCTTGAGTTTGGGCCCTGAACACATCTCAGTGGTCCTTCTTCAGCTTAGCTAGACCCATGAGGAGCTGGTCCCTCCTCTCCCTCCTGGCCGACAGATGCTGCTGCTCGCTGGGAATCAGCTCATCCATCTCCTGTGGGCAGCGGGGAGAGAAACACGTCAGCAAAAGAGCTGAGGGGCTCGGTGGTCGCTGTTCCTCAGTCCCCCATTAGAAAACAATGAGTGAGAACTTCAATGACATAACATAACATTAAATAACATACATAAAAATAAACCACAGTCATCACAAAACTGAATGAAAACAGTAATCTGATTGTTTTTAACTGGACACTGGGTGATATTAGTTTGTCAGCAGGATCAATGAGATGACCTGATTACATGAGGGTTATATATTCAGATGTGCATCGCAGACATTATAATATTCTGTTGATAACGCTCATGAATGAATCCAGTATCCAGTTAGTAAACACTCAAAAGGGAATGTGAGAGTATGACATGCTTAACAACAACTCCAAACTTGTGCGACTGCTCTCGTCCTCTAAACTAGTTCACCTTAAAACTATTTATTGTTCCAGCTCAGGGTTGCTCCACATGATGACCTTCTGTGGCTAACGTTTTAACAGCCTGTGATAGCACGTGACCACCCACTGCCTACTGAGCAGAGAGCTTTATGGTGCCGGGGCGACAAGGAACTCTTGACTTTCAGTCATGCAGAACTAAAGATACCATCAACAAACACTTCATTGCGGGAGGAAACGTTGATTGAATAAACATTAACCTGGATAAATGAATACTGTTATATTTTACAGCGTGGTCTCTTTCGCCGCCGGCACACTTACATTAACGATGCTCTTGGCTCCCTCACCGAAGAAGTCTGGTACAGGCCCAAAGGAGGTCAGGACTCTCGTTATGCCCACTCCGTACCGTTTCATATAGTCTTCCAAACCTGTGGGACGACAGCTGATCAGAGGAGGCAAAGGCCAGGAATGAGAACAGTTCACATATGTTTCATAACATTCAATACGCCTCACAGCCCCGAACGTCGCTCTTAAAATGAAACCTCCGCTCCAGGAAATCCTCGACATCAGGGCAAAATATCAAAATTGAAAGAAAGTTGTCCTCACTGATTCCCCTGCATTCGGACAGACGGTGACAGTTATTATTCAAAGTTGTTACTGAGTTTGTGTGAAGTTGTGCATTTGCAGTTGAGGACTGGATCATGCTTCTTTTGGGGCTGCAGGCTGTAGGAAAAGTGCCCTGAGATTCTTCTGTTGAACTTCTACTGTTTCTCTTACAGTTTGCCTCCTGTCAGAAATTGGTTTCAACATTTGACACACAGGGCTGTCAACACATTTTGGAAGATATGCATGTTATCTTTTCTACAGACCTCTTTGACCTATGGTTATCTATTACTCCCTTTTCTGTGAAAATTGTAACCTTACACTCAAGGGCGTGGGTTTGGTCTCAGCATTGGTCGGGACGCAACAACCCCACCACCCCTCCAGAACATCGCGTCAACTAAATAACATATAAGATCTAAATTTACATTCATACGCAAATGTAATATATGTACATGTGTTGAATTTCCATACATGAAATATATGTACATATGAAGTAAAATCATATATGTATTTAACCTGTTAAAGTATAGCCTATATATGTAAAAAATTACATATGAAACCTGTTGGAAATTGGAACAGTATCATACATTGACATATATGTCTAGCTAATAGAAATATGTATTTTACATAAATATACAATATATCCATCCCTAAGCCTGTCAGTATCGTTTAATATTACATATGTAGATATAAAAGACAGAAATTATGAAGAAAATCATATACAAACATATAGAATTTCAGGTTGTTTTAATAAATCTGCATTATATCTTTATTTATCCAGAGGATGTATATATGTCAAAATAATATATCCTCTTATATGTGACACACACGGTAATGTCACTCTTGATATAGGGACATACAGTATATATCATACAGTATATATGTCAAAAGTCATAGTAAGGCATAAACTGCACAATGAAGGGCCCCAAGACTGGGGTTCGAATCAAGAACCTTCTGACTGTGAGGCAACAGTTCTAACCACTGTACCACCATGCCACCCCATAAATAAATCATAGTATAGTAAGGCATAAAAAACTCATAGTAACTCTGTTGGAGCCTGTTTTTAATGTCACTTCATGGCAGTGAACAGAAGTTAGTCCAGAAATCCTGCGTCACAAGAGGAGCTGCCTGGGCTGCTGATTACTTGCTAAGATGCTATATGTAGCACCTTTATAAAAACATCCTTCGCCACACAACAAAATATACGTGAACCAAATAAGTGATCGTGTCCCTTAATTGGGATGTGGAGAGATGAAAACACACAGCTAATGATCTATGCTGCAACACAGGTACTCATCATAATTAATTATTGGACAAATCGTATCATAAAGAGGGGCAGCGGTGTGGTTTGTTGACATTCCTGTGATAAGAAACTCAGCAGGTCGGGACAAGATCTTTAAAGTAATAAAAAGCCGGTGTGGAGCAATCTGAAAAAAAGAAAAAAAAAGAAAAGAGAAAGACGAGCATGAACCGCTTCACACCGGCTCTTTAATTAAAACAGGGTCAGAAGGTGCCCATTGAAAATAGTTTTGTCACCCTGAAATGAAGTTTCACACAAAAGATTTAAAAGTGTGACACTTGTGCATTGTTCAATCCAACAAACTTTCCTTTTACTGTAGTTATTCACACCGAATACGTGACAATAATGTTGCTACAATACTCGACATTTATACTGTTTCAGTGTGTTCAGTGGGACACATGACGTATATATGACACAGCAGTGTGATAAGTCCCATCTACCTTCAACCGAACAGACTGTGTGGGAGGAAGATACAAGTCTCATTTCAAGGCATCTGTTTGTTTTTTGTTTTTCTTGCCACGCAATTCCTCTTTTGCTGCCACTGCAAGTTTTTCTTAAATGTTTCTATTCCATGTATCAGAGTCCAGCAATGTTATAATATAATATAATATGGCTGCGGTGAACGCTGCAGTCAAAGCTTTGCAGCTTTGCAGAGAAAAAGTGGGAAGTTACAGCTTTCAGCTCTGACAGGTTAAAACTGAATATGAACATTATCAGTCAGGACCAAAACAAGCACCTCACTCACTTTGCTGTTTCTCGTGTTTTGTTGGTGAACTGTTTGGCTTTTAAAGAAACAGTTCACCTTTGTTTTGACTGTAGCATGTAGCCTTGACAGGTGGCTGTGAAGAGTTTGCAGCTTGCTTATTTGTTAAGGACAGCAGCTTGGAGTTACCAGTGGTTAAACGTTAGCCTTGTTGTGTCCCAATTCACCATGTGTGGCCGCCAAAGACTGAACAGACCGCAAAGGCTGAACCGAAACGAGGCGGCCTGGTCTACGGAGGATTTCCTATTGATCCTCGGCTGCTGTTTTAATAAAAAAGGATCCACCCGTCAGATCCTTCGTTGACTGGGAAACGAAGGATTGCATTTCTCGGGCCAAGACGGTCTTTAAATGCAGCGTCTCAAGACAACAGGCGGTGGGGTTTTCGGTGGGTTTTTCCTTTAAAAGGAAAATGCTCTCAGGTACAGGTGCATGGTTTACAAAAGCCAAGTCATTCAGGCAGAGTAGAAAAAGAGACACAGAGACAGAGAGCCTGAGTGCTCCAGTATCTGATTGGAGAGATTTAAGGACGGGAAGTCACTACAGAAGTCGGTCTTAGCAATCTTCTGAGAACATGATCATGCTACTGTTTTCCTGAGCAGAGCTTCGGCACTGTAACTACAGGTAGAGTTGGCACCTGGTTTTTGAAGGCTGCGATGTGGGCTCTGTGAGTTTTGGATTACTGGTGTGAGGGAGTGCATTCATCGCTACCCATCAAAAGGCCGCTTTGTTCGGCCACAGCGACCTTTTTTTTCACTGTGTGTGTGTGTGTGTACACAGTCGGGGCCGCGCTCTGGGTTTCACACTCCCCTTTGATATTCTCCATCTCCCCGAGGTTTCACTCTCGGACTCTCTCTCCGACACACACACACACACACACACACACACAGGAGCGCCACAGTATGGTACAGTACATGTGCGTTGTGTTGAGGCATGTCACTGTGGATTTTTCTGACAGTTTTTATGTAACTGGCGGCCCGGAGGCTCCTCAGTGAAGCTCTAACGCAGAGTACAATCCATTCTTGTGTAATAATGGCACGAGATGCATAACTGCGCTCATCTGAGAAAGTAATACGACATGTTATAACAAAAAGTCAAGATTGTACCTGTTTACACGAGGCATTACGAAACCTAAAAGACTTTTTCTAAATACATCGAATCAGAAAACCAGCATCCTCAGCTTGATTTGTAACTGGTTTTAATGATATTTATAATTAATAAATAAAACATGAGCACATGAGGGGCACATGAGATTAAAAAAAAACATAACAGTCAAAGATATCCTCACTTTTAATCCACAGTACGGATCAAGTTCCTACAATTCCCATAATTCAACTCCAAGGGGTCTTTCATTGGACCCTCTCTGCCTCCTAAATGCCCACGTTTGGTGGTGACCTCCTGAACATTACCTTCAGGCGCATTGAGGTGCATCGTTTCCATGGGACCGATGAAGGCGTAACGCATTCCTAGCCCCTCTGACATCACCAGGTCGATGTCCTTGACTGAGATAACGCCATCCTGATAGAGTCCGAGAGAGAGAGAGAGAGAGAGAGAGAGACGCTTTTGCTCATGTCATTGGCTTGATTGTATTCTTTACAAACAAAAAAAAAAAGAAGGGCAGATCAGTCACTCAGTAAATGTATGACTAGATCTCCCCGCATGTTTTCTTTATCAGGACAGGTTAAACAGCGGACAGGTTAACTCTGAGTCATCTATCAAGTGTTTCCCATGTTCCTCGGTGGAGGATTCGATGCTGACGATGCTACTAACAAACAAACAAACATACATGACTCCTGTTTTGCATAAAAGAGCAACACAAAATTTAACCTGAGGATGCAGTTCAACAAAGTCATGGCTTTTTTTCTTTTTTTTTTTTTACCCCCAGGGTTTTGGACCGACCAAACTCCCTTTGATCCCATCAGACTACTCCCACCATATAATGTTTCCCTAATCAGCCAATTCTGTGTCCCCGGGATTATGTGGGCAGTACAGGGAGGAGAGAGATGGATGGAAGGCGAGACAGAGGGAGTGGTTCAGGTGTCTTTGGGATTCGAGATACCTGTTGGCCGACCGCAGAGGAAATCAAAGCTTGGACACAGATACAGAGAGTAGGGTGAAGCAAGAGGAGAGGGACAGGGTCGTCTTTGTTTGGGTCCCGCGTCCAACAACGGGCCTGTTATCTGGGCAAAGCGGGATGGTGGGTGGGGTCTTTTCTCCCCTGTAATCACTTGGGGAGGGGGGGGGGGGCAACAAGCTGCTTTCTCAGCCACTCTGCTTTCAAACGCTGGCCCTGACTCAAGGACCATTTTCGGTGAGTGTGTTTGGAGGGGTGAGGGTGAGGGTGAGGGAGGGTCCCTGTTATGTAAGAAAGATCTCAAGGCCAGACCATCTGTTGCAGGACTCATTGTTCTTCTTGTCTCTGAAGATACTGTAGTCCTTCACGACCCTGGTTGTACGTTCGGACTCACTGTCTTGCTGCAGAATGAATTTGCACGATGGATACAGGTGGTGCTGGAAGATTGGTGGCGGGGTTTGAATACTTGCTGGTCATGCGGCGGTTACCATCGTTTGTAGCTAGAAAGCTCTGTTGGGGTTTCGTCTCATTTGGGGGATATAAAATTGGTGATGCAACGCAGCATCTGCAATATACTTGTAGCGACAAAAGCAAAGGTGTCACCAAAAACATTAACAGTGTCCCAGTCCTGGTTGTCCTAGCAGTGTCTTTAATGAGCCAAACTGAAACTGAAGCGACACAATGGAATATAGACATCACTATAAAAATTAATTCGTAAGTATACCTCGACAATTCATTTATACACTGTCTAAAAATACAAATATGACAAGGTTAGAAAGAGCTGAAATAGACAAGAACTATAGCTGTCCAACAATATACACAAGGTAAACTGACCGGGTCTTGTACTGTGACTGTTAACAAGTCAAACCTGCTGCGACATGTCAAACTGTGAAAAAGGCAGGAAGTTTCCCCCATTTGGTTCCGTCAAAAGTCAGCGCTGCCAAACATGACAACAATGTAAATTTGCATATCAAAGTTCACAATTACTGACACGGTTACTCCACTAATTGCTGCAATTCCATTAAAAATGACCTGATTTCCCGCCGTCATAAAAGCTGTTGCGGCAGAACTCAGCAGGAAACTGTTACCTGAATCTGAGTCTATACCGACCCCTGACCTACTTGTTCCAGGTACATTTTACGTATAGGGTGCTGTACGTAAAGAGTTTTTATTTAATTCTTTCCACTGTTGCGCTTCATTATCGACAATGTTATAAACTATAACAGTTCCTCAGGCGTGTGACACAACATGCGTCACCATTTTTCACAATCAGAAATCATGAGGTGTGGTGTGTCCCTCCATTGTGTGACTAGATAGAACAACAGCGATATCAAGAAGCCTGCAGCAAAGTTTATAGTTAACTGAAGGACTTTAATGCAGCAGCATCGTCAATGTTCTTGGTTAAAATAATACATGGCTCGTTGAGTTGTCCATTAAATACTGTGATACATTTTTTAACTGCTGTTGGCTGCTAACAATTTCTGTTGCATATTACACAACATATAACAAAAACTTTGAAGCCCCTTTGATATAACGTAATAGTGAAACTGGAAGTAATTTATTCAACAGTAGATAGTAGTAGTTCATCTAGATGAATTGTAGATAGAAGATAGGTGGAACGCACGTGTATACACAACCACACACACACACACACACACACACACACAAGAAAGATGTAAGATGTAGAGGATACGTGTCTAATAGTGGCAGCTCTAAGTCAATGACCCAGATTCTCAAAATGTGAAGTCACAGCCAATAGTGACTTATGACTCTAGTAGGTTAAAGTGTGTGTGTGTGTGTGTGTGTGTGTGTGTGTGTGTGTGTGTGTGTGTGTGTGTGTGTGTGTGTGTGTGTATTTCAAGGAAGCAGTTTTGAATAAGAAAAACACAAATATTTAAAAGGTCATTCTGCAGTTGAGGAAATGAAAAAGGGTAAAAATTACTTTGAAAATGAAATATATATTCCTGGTTCACCTGACTTACAACCAGCGCTGGAAGATTTAGTCACATCGTTTCCTTATGTGAAGTCAGCACGTTAGTAAACCAGCAATACCACAGTGTAGAAATACCAGTAAACTGCAAGCATTCAAAAGTTTCATATTATATTGTATTATTGTATTATAATTACTGATGCATGAATATATGCATCAGTTTAATGTTGCAGCTGGTAAAGGTGGAGCTAGTTATAATTACTTCATCCACTGCTGGGTATATGTGACCTGTAATCTCCGTAAAGTCTTGTCTTATACAGTAATACATCATGATTTATTTATATATAATTATATTGTACAGTTTTATTAATCTGAATTTGCAGATTAACTAGTAACTAGAAACTAAAATTAGCAAATAATTGCAGTGGAGTAAAAAGTACAATATGTATGAGTAAGTATGAAGTAACAGCACATGGAAATACTAATGTTAAGTACAAGAACCTCAACATTGTGATTAAGCACAGGACCTGAGTAAATGCACTTAGTTACTTTCCACAACAACCTACAACCTACAACAGCCTCTAACCGAAGTCTTTGAAACTGGCTGTTTGGCTTTTTGCGCCTAGACTAAAATAAATATTACTTAGCAAACACTTTAATTTTGGAGCATTCATGTGTGTTTTATACTATCGTCCAAAAAATAGCATTTTGAAATGAGATAAATGCTTCCTGCTGACGCCACGTATATTGTTTATCTGTTAATTTTATTGGATCCCTATAACGTCTGCAGCAGTTATTGCTAACCCTCCTGGGCGGCAGACTTCCTGGAATGTAAATTTGGTTCAGAATATTCAGAGAATTGACATCCACAGTGTAAATCACATGGCGGGGCAGCGGGGTGAAGCTCATGTCGGCTGGGTCATCTAGTTCACCTGCTCTTCGCTCGAGCAGAACTAAAGCTTCACAGCTTATCTCTATCTCCAGTGGGGACTAGAATAGAAATCCCTGCTTCTTATGAATAGTGTTGTCTTCTTCTGAAACACTTACATGTTGCCTTAGATAGCCAACCTGACTCAATTAGAGCCAGCCCCGCCCGCATACTGAGTGATGACAACTGAGATCAACTAATGTTCAGGATTTACCTGTTGATCAACTTTGACGAGACGAACTGTCATAAAGGCTGAGAAACTTCCAGTCTCACAGTTTTTTTTTTTTTTTTTTGTTGTTTTTGTTTTAGAAATTGTGTAGACGGAGCTCAAAATTTCATCCAAAAACTGTGAGAAATTCTTAATAGCGAGGAGACTGTTTTTTAACTTCACTAAGCTACAGAGACACAGATACTAGAACTGCTTCTGTTGAGACAAATAAGGAGCGAGCAGGTTGCCTGTGAATGTCCTTACGAACGATTTCTCTGCAGGTTAATGTGATTGTGAGGATGAAGCCGTTAAATTTTAAGATTTTGAGTGAAAACTTTCTTGTTGAGTTTTCTCCTAAAACGAGTTGGTTATTCTTACACACACCAGAGTATTTATGGTGTAAAGGACGTGCTATGAACAATAGAGCTTTTCATGGCAAACATTTTGACATCAATCATCCACTTGATTGTCATAAATCAGTAAACAATGTCAAGGCACCAAGGTGCACATGAAAGGAGCTGTTGAAATAAAATACCTGAATGTGACAAGATGTTATTTACGACATTAATTGCTATGACAAGTCAAGAACGTTTGAATGCTGTTTCAAAGGTCTACTGCTGTTTTTCTACAGGTTTAAATCTGTGCTGCAGACTGAACTGTTTTACATGCATAATTCGGCTGTCCATAGCAAGCACATCTGGCACCACCATGAAAGTGAAGTCCAAAATTAGCAGTAAGAACCTGACTAAATTCTAAATCTAAATTTACAGACTGGGCCAGAGAAATACAAATGAAAGCTATTAAAAGTTGTTTTCAATATATACATATTTGTATTGGTTTGAAAACATATGTTCCACTACAAAAATATCAAAGCTTAAAGAGGCAAAGCGTGTTCAGGAGCATGCTTGTTTGATTGACAGAAGCTGCAGTGGTTGCTAGGTATTTTTTGTGGTAAACAAAAAGTTTGAAAAAAAGTTTTGAAACTTCCACGGGTGACGTTAGAGACATCACACCCTTGTTTTTACAGGGTTTATGAGCTAAATGCAAAATAGATCAGACACATCTGTTGAGCTCTTAGTTAAAACATGGGAATAATCAACCATTTCTACCACTGTACATTCTTTTGACAGGTTGTGTGTTAGGAGACACACAGCTGACTCATGCTATTACATTTTACACAAACCGTTGTGTAACTTGATTTGTGATCGTGTGTGTTTTTATTGTTGCTTCTACATATATATTACTGTGAGCGTATCTTGGAGGTGTAAAAGCGCCTCGTTTTTATTTCTACCTCTGACGTGATCATGGTGCTTCACTCTGTGAAGCTCCTTCCAGAGCAAAGTCAGACGCTTTAACAGCAATGTGGCATTTTTGTCAG